TCTAGTCAACTAATAAAGTAAAATCGTATGAACTTTTGGTTGAGAATAAATGAACCTTATATTGTGTATAGTGAATATTGTGTTATGCATTGTTTGCCTATTTGTGCATTTTGTTAAGCCTAACTTATTGATAAAGTAAAATTGTATGCTCTTTTAATTGAGAATATATGAACCTTATGTTGTGCATAGTGGATATTGTGTTATACATTGTTTGTTTACTTGTGCATTTTGTTAAACCTAGCCTACTGATAAAGTAGAATCGTATGGACTTTTAGTTGAAAATAAATGAATCTTATATTATGCATAGTTGATATTATGTTATGTGTTATTTGCCTAACTTCAGTATTTTTTTTAAACCGAGCATAATGATAAATTGAAATTACATGAACTTTCAAGTGAGAATATATCATAAAAACTTTCTTTTCTTGCAATTGTCTTTAACTAGCCATTCTCCTGGAAGGCCACGAATAAAAAGGATAGAGTCTTTTAAGATAACAAGATTTATCATTATTCAACATGTGGGGAGGTCAGACACAGTCGCAAAACATGCAAGAATCCTAACTTAACATGAGAAGTAGTTACATTGTACTTTTTTGGTGTACATAGGCAACTATAATTATGTATATAAAAGCATTCTCAAGTAATGTTTTTGGGTAATTAAGAATCACATATTTTTTGCTTGTATATAGAGAAGCAACTCTTAAATATTTTAGATATAGTGGCTAACCTTTTGTATATATCAGACTTGAAATATTATGTCAAATTTCATAGGGGTATTTGTTTTAGTACCTAGGCTAATACCAACATGAAGTTATCCATATCTAATGTAATTGTCCTTCTCAATATTAGAAATACATGAATTTTCTGTTGAGCATGTGTGGACATTGTCTTGTACATAATGAATTTTATGTTGTGCATGATCTATCTAATGTCATTTTATTATAGCCTAAACTAGTAAAATATTGAAAATGCATGGATTTTTTGTTGAGCATGCGTAGACATTGTCTTGTACATAGTAAATGTTGTGTCGTGCATGGTCTACCTTGTCATTTTTGTTAAAGCCAAGGCTAGTGAAATAGCTGAAGTGCATGGACTTTCTGTTGAGCATACGTGGACATCGTCTTGTGCATAATGAATATTGTGTCGTGCATGGTCTATATTATTGTTTCGATGGTTCACACAGGTTCCAAATTTAAATCAAAGGGCAAAATTATACTTTTAGTCTCAACAAAATTGACAATAAGGGCTCCAAGGCCTATAGAGCAATATTAAATTTATTTAGATCTAAATTATAATAAAGCTTGTTTTTAAGATCCTTAATATTATTTTTCTTTTATTATTTGTCAGCATATCGAAACGCAGCCATTTATAGAGTTGGTAAACGGGCGGGCCTAGCCCATATGGGCTCGGCTCTTATGGGCCTAGGCCCTAAAGCTCGGTTACCCCAATTTAATCTTAAAATTGAAGCCCTGCCCTTATTCATAGGGCTCAGGGTCGGGCCCGTAAGCCCGGATAAGAGTAAAATAAAATAAAATAAAATTTAACATTTAAATTTATTTAGAATATTTTAAAATTTAACATATATCAAACCAAAGTCTCACATAATCTAAAAAATGAACAAAAAATTTAAAAGTCCAAATAAGATGAAGGCAAACATCATCATCAATCCTAATCAAGATCTCCCTCATTATCATCCATAAATAAAATATTAAAACCCTCAGATGAAGGTCTACTTGTAAAAGATGGAGGCGGAGGCTCAATATTAATTATTTTTGCAGCTTCTTCATCATCACCTACAATAATTATTAATTAAATTATTTTATTATCAACTATATATCTATACATATATCACAAGATAAAATATAAAAATTACTATAAAATGGCACAAAACAATTCAACCAATTGTTGGTAGAAAATACAAATCAATGTTTGCACATTATCTAGAAAGAGGTGAAAATAATACGTTGTGAATAGTAAAGCGGGTTTCACGGGCCGCCTGGGCCCGAGCCCATTTTTTAGGGCTTAAAAGGGCCGGGCTTCGAAGCCCGATTACCCTAAAAAATGTTAAATTTTTAAACCCAAACTTTTATTAAAATGAGGTTAAACAGACAGCCCGTCAAGCCGGCCCTTATTCCCAACTCTAGCCATCCATGCTCTATTTTGCACAGGCATTACCCAATATACGCTTGGCATTTTGTGGCTCGCAATTTAAGACATTGTGTGGCTTGGGGACGTCTTCGTGGCATTCAAATATTCCCGATGCAATGATTTTGTTGGAGTTTCGAACATTTATTATATGCGTGTGTTAAATAATTTAATAAATATTAAATATATCACTATTATATTTTTTGTTAAATGAATCAAACTAAATTTAATAATATGGAAACATTAATAATTTGTTATAATTAAATTATAATTATAAAGAGCGAGTTCTAATAAGTTAATGTTTAATAATTAAATTATAATTAAATTAAAATTAAAGGAATCAAATGATTAATTACCCCATATATTATATGCAATTTTATCAATATTTATCCTAAAAGTCATGTCCTTTATTGTAATTTATATATTTAAAATTTATTTTGATTAAAATCATCCAAAAACCTTTAATTTTACCAAGAAAATATTTTAAAAAATATCATCTAAACACTATCATGTTATAACATAATTAATTATAATAAAAACTTATTCTATTAATTAATTTTTTATAATTAATTATACTCAATTGAAATATATACGGACTCATGGATTATGACTCGAGGCCTGCGAGAATAACTAGAATTAAATAACAGGTTTTATAAATAGCAAATATAGAACATTTTAAAATAAAACTCATCATGCAATAGCTACGTCATTCTCCATTTAAGAATAGATCGTGGAATCCAAAATTATGGTTTTATAAAAAATCATACAAACACTTCTAATTTTTTCCGAACTTTATTTACTTCCTGGAACCTCATCATGCATGAGCTGCTTCATCCTCCATTTAAGAATCTATCACAAGGCTGTGGCGATTTAAACCCACTCAAAGACCATAGAAATTACTCACAGGTACCGGAGACTATTCAACCGGCTCAAAGAAAAGACAGTGCGAGTGCCCCGAGCCGCCGACAAATGAAGCACGGTCTGGGCCTTTAGCGATTTACCATAGAAATGAACATGGTTTTTTTTTTTAAATTAAGAATTATATTTATATCTTTTATTAAATTTATTTCAAGTTAGATACATTGATTTATTTTTTTATTACCTAGATTAATTTTATCAATAGTATATTATAAAAATGAACGTTCTTTATTGTAATTTACACATTCAAAATTAATTCTAAAAAATTATCTAAACATTTTTAATTTTATCAAAATTAATTTAACAAAATATTATTTAAACATCATCGTGTTTTGATAATCAATTTTTCATCCTTGAAATTCAAACAAACCGCACGAACTGGTGGCAGACATATACTTTTTCATGTGCGCATTGATTGATTCACCGGTCACTACCCTCTATTTCTGCGGTCCTCTTGCTATTATTATAAGGTGGTACCCTTTGAAAGAAATGATGATCCTTTAATACAAGCTTTTTGGTGGGTTATTAAATTTTTAATAGTATTTTTATTTAAATTTATTAATTATGAGAAAACTTGTTTTATAATTTATCATGTTTGCTATTAATTTTTATACTTTCTTTTTATTGTTTTAGGTTCTTATAATTTTTTTTTCACCTGAAATATTAGTCTTTCTATTTTTAAATATGTACATAGCAATAACGATGTATCACTAACAACATTAAATTATCTAACTTATAATTAACATTGTTAAATTGAATGTTAAAATAAAAAAGAAAAAGACAGAACAATCACAGCATACGTGATAACAAGATCAATTGGCATGGTGAACCATAAACGAACCCAAAGCAAAATCGAAGAGACCCATGTGACGTTTGTAAAAATATAAAAAATAAAACCTAACCTTTAATTTGTTTGACACACAGTGAAATGATACTAGTTATACATAAGAAAATTAATATTGTTAATACTACATTACCATCCCTATAGATATATTTAAAAATAAAAAGACTAATATTATAAGCAAGAAAAACTATAGTGACATGAAATAACAGAAAAAAGTGTAGGAATCAATAGTAAAATATGGTAAAATTATAAAGATTGATTGTTATATTTTCTTTTTTTTTAATTTCATTATATTATGATAAATATAAGCTGTACTATTTTTGTATGTACTATTTAGGCTACAAATTACAAGACACTTTTAAATGAGATTGGGCATCCCAAAGTATAAAATACTTTAAAAAAAATTAATATTTTGTTAAATAGGTTTATTCTAATATTACCTTTTTCCCTCTATTTAATTTTCGTCTATCTCTCTCTTCATACTCTTTTGATCCTATTTCTAATACACTTCCAACATGTCTTATTGGAATTAAGAAAAACCTTAAAATTTATTAACTTTATCTAAAAATTTAATTATTTCCTCATTTTGCCCATATGAAATATATATTTTAATAATATATTTTCTTTCTCCAATATTCAATAGAGGTCAAGTAAAAAAATTTGCAATAAAAATTTAATGAAGTAACTCATAAGTAGGATAAAAAAAAAATTTTTCTACCCTATAAATGGGATCAAAGAGAGCATATTAAACGAAGGATTTTCTTAAAAGTTTATATTTTATTTTAAAAAAATAAAATTATTAAATATATTTAATGAAATTTATTAATATATAAAATTTTATTTAAAAATATTTTATAATTTGCGAGAGAATGGTAGAAAATTTTCAATCTTATTCTCGAGACACACTGTAAAATCTAAAGCTTACGTGGAGACCTCCTGTATCCTGTTTTGGGTGTAACACTTTGGCATCCATGGAATGATCATAGTACTTGCATACAGTGTTTGGTACGTGTCATGCAAATGCTCAAATTCACATGAAACAATACTCGAGAAAATTATAAAAGGCAATATATATGTACGTGATGGGACGCATTTCTTGTGCTTTGGAGTTTCAGTGATAAATTATTTCTTTTTTGCTTTGATTCTATTTCCATTCACTTGCTTTCTGTTCAGGCCTGCTGATTTTGCTTACCAGATTTGTTCGTAGAGTTTACTACGCCGCAAGTGTAATCATCTTCTCGGGGAACAAGATGTGAGTTATGCGAAGTTCCGTAATCCGCCTCTTAACCTTTTCCACATTTTTACCAGTTTAGAGAAGCAAAAATCATGAATGAAGATGCGTGGTATTTATTTATTGAATCTCTCTCATCTTGCACACGCACGTGTATGTGATTCATTCCGTATTTATTTCTTCTTTTGAAATTTGTAGATGTATTGGCTCGCTTTTGTCGTTAATTGAGGGCAAAAAATAGTCAGTGTTTGCCGCAGAATCAAACCGGAGAGATTATCAGTTTGGTCCTCTATATCAATTCGGTTGGATTCCGTCGTGTTACTGGTGAAGAGCCGAGTTGTTTTGTGTTGAAGCTATGGATATTGTAGCTGCACGGAGCCTACAAATCTCAACATTCGTGACTTTCGAGAGACTTGAGGGAAAACATGGTGAGTCTCTGAAACTGTCTCCACGTTTTAGGGAGAAGAGGCTTCAGGTTTTTGGCTCAGCTAATTGGCAGTCTGGAAAGCCTTCAGCGACTCGGTGCATGAGGACCCCTTTGAAGGTTGCTCGCTCGTGCAACAATTCTCCAGGTATATTGTTTATAGCTATAAACAATAATTATTGTTGGTTTTTTATTTTTGTTCCTTTCAGTAATGTCCTGGCTTCAAAAGTTGATTCTGGTGTTGTTTTAACTGGGTTTTCTCTGCTTCATTTCAGTAAGAACTATTTTCTCTGTAGCGAAAGTAATACCAATTTTGAACTTGCCGTTTTGGGAAAAATTAATAAAAGTTGAGTCAAAGTACTGCCTGCTTATGCCTGGAAGTGATTTGATTTAGTTTATTAATGCATAAGAAGCGCGTGCCATTTCAGGTGGTGACAATTTATTTCCAACGTCATTTTTTGTAGCTTCTACATTGGAAACTGGAGGTTTGCAGGGTTCTGTTATTGATGAAGAATTGACCCTAAAGGTAAAGTATGACGCCTTTTATTTTATCAATTTTAATTAATTGAATTGAGCCTATCCAGTCTATAATGATGCCGGCCCCCTTATATTCTGTGCACTTTAATAACACAGTTTCGAAAAAAATTGTAATCTGATCTCATTTGTTGCTTGGCTAAGCAGCCACCTACCATTCTCTCACTCAAAATCATTAAAAATTGCAGAGTAACTCACAGGAGATCGAGCAGCATCTAAATGGACGATGTATATACCTTGTCGGTCAGTTTCTTTGTAGAAGTCCATGTGTTAACACGGTACATCTTGCGATAATAATTACTTTGGCATTCAAAATATTTTGTTTTTGTCACTCAGGAATGATGGGCTCCGGGAAAACAACTGTGGGGAAAATTCTGTCCCAAGTACTTGACTATGACTTTTATGACTGGTTAGTACTCAGATGATGGCTGCTCTTCCATTTTTAAATGGTTGGGAAAATATAGTTTTGAAGGCAAGGAAACCGTTGGCCAAAAAAAAAAAAAAGGCAAGGAAGCCATGGTTGGCAAATTGATTTGCACTTGGTAATAAAGTGATTCGATAGTTTATACAATTATATTCTTCAATTCAGACCAATCTGAGCTTCAACTGGAGTTAGTGTCAACCTGTTCTGTAGACGTTAAAGACTCCAAGGCTCACCGTAAATTTTGGCGTAAAGAATCTTTGGTTGAGACTTTAAGATCACTGTGTGCGTGTTAGTATGTCACAGTAGAAATCCTCCATTTGGTGGGCACATTAAAGTTCCTGCTGAATATTTTCTGTATTTTTTGCACTCATGTACTTCAGTGACGAACTTGTGGAGGACGAAGTTGGAGGAACTTCTGTAGCTGATATATTCAAACACTATGGAGAAGGTTTCTTTCGTGAAAGAGAGGTCAGTTAAAAAGCTTTTCTTTTCCCCAGTTCATCTTTCTCAGGGATTTGATGCCTTCAGCTCCCGAAAACACATTTTAACCTCACGAAAAATGGTGGGGAAAGTTACGGGTTGTGAAATCCAGGGCATTCTCGTAAGAGCCCTTATAAGTATCAGCGAGTCCATGCCCTTTGAGGCCAAATAGCACCATGATTGTTGCTTGGCCTTTTCTTAGTGATCCAATGGCCTAGCTGCTCAAGCTTTCACATCAAAGGCAAATAAGGAGATGGTCTAATCCTAGCCATTCCATGGAACAACTGTGCACTTACCGTTCAATTTCAGAATTTATATGCTTATGCTAGCTGCTAGAAACTAGTACAACTGGTTTAGTGTCAACTACATGCTGGATCATTTGAAGTTACAATTAGTTTTGATGCAAGGCTGGTTTAATATGATGTCATGGTAGCAAATTACTCAATATCTGAGAATGATGTGTGCTAACAAGGCACTGCATAATATCACAATTTCTGCGCTTCTGTTCTACAAAAAGGACAGTAGGGTGAATGTAAATAGGTTCATTTTTCCTTTGTGGTTCGGTTATGAAAATGTCAGTTTTCATGCTTTTTATTTTTGCCATTTCAGACGGGGGTATTGCGGAAGCTGTCAGTGATGGAAAGATGTGTTATTGCCACTGGTGGCGGAGCAGTTACAAGGCCAATCAATTGGTCTAATGATCAATGATTTTGCCTTCACCTTTATATGGTAAATTCCTTCCTCAAATCTATCTAACCACGCATTGTTTTCTGATCACCAGGAAATATATGCACAAGGGAATTAGTATTTGGTTGGATGTACCTGTAAAGGCATTGGCTCAGAGAATTACTGCCGTGGGAACTGAGTCTCGCCCACTTTTACATAATGAAGCGGGAGATGCATACACACAGGTAAAATTATCTCTGCCATTGAAACATTTTCTTTTCACTTTGAATTAACTATGCTTGTTGAGAATGCTGAGAGAGAGAGAGAGAGAGAGTGATTTGTCTTGATAGAAATTAACCTCGAAATTATTTGTTCACTTGTAATTTGATTCTTTGAAATTAACCTGCAGACTTTGAGGCGTTTGTCTTCTCTTTTAGAAGAAAGATTTGAAGCATATGCTAACGCCAATGCCAGGGTCTCCTTAGAAAGTATGCCAATGCATAATTTATTCTTTCTTCTAAAATCAAATCATTATTCTATTCTTTCCATTTCTGGTTTAATTTTAGTTTATAGATTAGGCTTTTACAAAATTGCCCCATGGAAATGCCATACATGGTACTTTTCCTGTTGTTTTGTCCAGATATGGCAGCAAAACTGGACCACAGAGATGTGTTGGATCTGTCTCCAACTACTATCGCACTTGAGGTCTATATCTCTTTTATAAAGCCCTTGAGCCAGTTAAAAGATTTGCATTAGTGATGCTTCTCTGTGTTTTTTTCTCTTGGTCAAAGCATTAGTGATGCTTCTCTAACTGAACACCCGTGTATTTATCAGGCACTAAAGCAAATTATGGCATTCCTGAAGAGTGAAGATGGCTATTATGCAGGATGCTAATTTTTGAGATAATGCCTAAAACGCTACATGTGGATAATTGTAACATATTGTCGGATCAAGTCTTCAGAATAAAGATCTTCATAAAATCTGTTTTATTTTTATATGTTTTTTGGAGGTAAGTATAAAGAGTAGGCTTTATCGATAATAGAAAATATTATTCTCAAAACAACCACTTTTGTAAATGATATAAGTCTCTGCTGCTTATAACAACTTTAGTTGATCTTTTTAATAAATTTTAAATATTTATTATTTTGTCGTATTACGAATTTGTTATGGTGTATTGATATTAGGAATTTATTATCAGAGAAAAAAGTCCCAAGTCTACTAATTATAAAGTAAATTATGAACACGTAAAGTTTGAAGATTGTTTACTTTATTAAAATAGTTTGAGCTATTTAATCAAAAAATAGCTTCAGCTATTATTCACCGAAAATAAAAGTTTAAACTATTGGGTTAGGTATATTTCGAGATTTATTTATTCTAATTTACTTTTTAATTATTAGATGTGAGATTTCTTTTTCTATATTACAAAACTAGAAGAAATATAAGAGAAATTTAAGATGAAATAAATGAACAAGATAAGAGAAAATTGGAGAAAATGAGGAGTAATATTCATTCATTTAGGCATCACAAATGCATGGTATATGTCCTCTATTTATAGACTCTAAACCTATCTAAAACTTATGATAGATTGAATAACAAGATTAATTCACATCAATATATAATATGCAATTTTTGAGTTTATAGGTATTAAACATGAGAAAAACTCCTAAAGTCATTCATTAGAGAGGTTATAAAATGTAGGATATTCAAAGCCAAGAGTTGGAAGAGTTTATGAAGATCCACACAATATAATATTATAACACTGCTCCTTAGATGTTCATGAACAAATATTATATCTTATTAAAACCTTATTAGAAAAAATTGAATGGGACAAAAATCTAATGAAAGAAAAAGAGTACACAATGCATGTTAAAGTTGTCTCGTTAAAGACTTTACTAGAAAAATTTTATGGAATAAAATCTTGGTTAAAAAAGAAAGAGTACAACATGAACTTTATTTCCCTGATCACAATATCATTTTAACTCCCCTTTGTAATAACATCATTTCTTATTATTATATCTCAATAAATAATACTAATTTTTTAAAATATGATTGTTGTCTATGCTTTTTCAAAAAAATCTTTCTTTTAGCCAAACTATGTATGATGCATATTCCTTGTGCATATATTCTTTCCAACATATCTTTTGAATATGTTAAATTTTAATATATACTTTGTTTGTCTTGTGCATTGTGGAGATCACAAAAGAAAAGTTATTTTAATCATCAAGATATATCTCGAATCTGCATGTTCAATTGAACAAAATGATACTATGATATAATGATTTTATAAAACTACACCAAAACTTTATTTCAATATCCATTCACCTGCAAGAACTTAATTTTGCTTTCAAAATTATAGCAAATGCAACATTAGCAAAATATGTAAATATTATCATATAATATATGGTACTTATAGAACATTAAATTCATATATTTTATATACAAAATTATCATAAAATAAAAAGTTTTTAAAACCATTAGAATATTTAATAATTCAATTTACGAGTCAAATAAAAGGTAAAATTATACATGTTTTTTCAATGCATATCCACTGAGTTCATTATTTATACTCAGATTATTTTAATTTACATAATAAATAATTGTCTTGGTCATGGTTTTGGCATTTTTTTTTATCCTCAAGGAATCACATTTAAATTTCACTATTTAGTGAATCATATGTACTCTCTCTATTAAAAATATAAGACATTTTTAATCGAATTTCACCTTTCAATAAAGTAGTTACCTACTTTTAAACTAACTCTATCTTTTTATATTTATCCCTATAAAATACCTTACAATAAATATAAACTCATTCATCAATAGAGACACTTTTGAAAAACCAGGCAATGATTACACCCAAAAAAATTAAAAATACTTTACATTTTTGAACACCCAATTCCTTAAAAAATGACTTATATTTTTAAACGAAGGGAGTATATGTTCTAATATCCAACATATTATATTTCACTTTCAGATACTACTAAATTAATAATACATACAAAAATCCACTACAAGATAGCATACTTGGTCATGATCATTATTAGACCATTGTAAAAATCCTTATTTTCACATAAGTTCTAATATATCTCATAATAACTTTATACTTCAAGTGTTTGAATTATAGGTCTATGATTTTCATATATTTAAAATAAATATAATTATACTCAAATCGTGTCATTTTTCTTTGGCCAATCATCTTTTCATCTACTTTTCATAACATATTTGTGTATAAGATCCTTATATGATTACATAATATTATCACCAAAATTGTTGCCGATAATTTTATGTTTTTGGTTCCATTTTTCCAATTGTAACATGACCTTTTGAAATCTCTTTATTGCTTTCAGGTGCCTGAACCTCTTCTGGGATTTTCATAATCAGTACTATTTTGACCCTCTTCTAGAGTGTTTGTCTCCTCAATAAGATCATTTAAATTATATGCTTATCTTTTTCAAGATATTTATATTTGGAATTGATTGATCTTTCATGCTTCAAGTATGCCTCATTTTCTTTTATAATTGTTGGAGCATCTTTTGTTAGAATATGAGATTTAACAATTCTCAATTTGGTCAATAATTACATCTGGGAGATATTTTGTAATGCTTTATGAATGCATTTGATGAACTTCTTGTTCATATTGCTATATGAGAGGATCCAAATAAGATGATATTAATGCATTCCATTTTTTACTAACTAGTCTTTTCATCCCCTCAAGTTGAGAAAACTTGATCAATTGATAGTCAAAGCTCACTAAATCACACAAGCCTTCCAATTCTTTTTGTTTTCTTTAGAAAACATTCCTTTGTTTTGTTTATCTCCTTTAGAAAACATTTGATCATTTGTTTCATTTAGAAACAAATAAGAAAAAGCTTTTCACATAACCCTTATTCCCAACTTTCTTCAAATATACATAGTGTGGTGGAATAATAATAGGAATAACATTGTACATTAAAATTTAAAAAATACCTGACTCTTGACCAAAAGCCAATTTTAACAGAGGAATTTTGTTGGCTCAATATGGATAAGTGCTACAATGTGTAAGATCAATTTCGTCGGTACTGAAATGAAAATTTTGTTCTCATAATTATTGATCTAACTACTTATGAAGGCTTTAATAAATGGTTTTGCTAGATCACTTTGTAAAGCAGGCTTTTCAACTATTTTTCTTATAATTATATTATTGAAAGCCTAATATATAAATTCACTAGAATTTTCAATAGAAATTGTTTGAATCACCTATTCTAGAAATTGTGTACTCAATATAATGCTTTATTCAAATAATCTTGCAAACTTCAAGTTGCAAATTAGACATAATCACACATGTAACTATCTTATAGATGGATCAATTAAATACTTTTATGGTTTACATGCTATTTGAATGGGCCCATATATATGAATTTTACATATTTCCAAAAATATAGAGATTCATTCCAATTTAAAACTAGTGATATTCTCATGATCAACTCTTGAAAACAAGCATCACATACTAATTATCTAATTACATAATATATGTGTTAGTTATTCGTGAAAAGTGTTCTAGTTCTTCAATGGATATTAATATATACATTCTAAATAATTCTATACACCATATGTATGATCTAAAATGATCAAATAAATTATGCCAATAATATATCTATTTAGTTCAATAAATTGTTGTTTTATTGTAATATTTTTTAAACTATCAATAACATTTTTAATTTTCATAATCTATGATTGATTTACAATCTCAATGTGATATCAATTAGAGATATTTATTATGTTTTGAGAGGAAATATATGAGCAAAATTTCATCCAATATTAACCCACACTTGTATTCCAACAATCTCTCATTCAAGTGTGAGTTAAGCAAGCATACCCCTCTTATTTATGTCTTCACTAGCATATAATGGCCAAATAATATCCTTCACTTAGAGGTCCAAATGCTTTCAAATTCATAGACAATCATGTCAATTCAATTGAGCTAGCATCTTCCAACCATTGGCAAAAACAAAGCTCTAATTTAAATATATGAGTTATATTTTTCATTATTGATCATTTTTCTCACAGAAAAATATTTCCATTAATTCTTTAAGAACTACCATGTATTTATTGCTAACATACATATGTATACACATAAGTATATATTCTCATTACTCATTAATGACATATTCAATTTAATTTACTTTTCTTATGTATATTCAAAGCATGAATATGTTTCAAAGCATGTGTATGAACTATTTCAATGTTTCTTCATCACATATTTTCTAAATTGAAAATATAATCAATATTCATTTTATCTATATATATATATAGTTAAAATGAAATGAAGAAAAGTTTAGAAGAATGTGAAAAACAAATAAGATCTAACATATCATATATGTTATAACATAATGATCTGAATGATCTAAACTATTTAAATATTCATGAATTGAACTTGCAATACACATATATAATTTCAAATATCACAAAAATGATTTTGTCTATCAACATCAATCATCAACTACTCATAATAAATTTTTCTCATGAAATTAAACAATTTCTCATTCTCCCAATTCAAATGTGATTCAAATATACAATCTTGTTTCCTTAAAACATTACATACACCAAGTTTAATTGACACACACACGCACATGTATGATATCATGAAAAATGTTTAAAATTCATACAATTAATCACTAGTACAAAATATGAAATTTACGAGGTACTTTTTACATCGGTTGGAAGGCAAAAGGTGTAAAAAATTTAGGCGGTGGCATTTTTGTAATTATGTTAAAGTTTTTGACACTTTTTACATCGGGTGGACCTCCACAAGTAGACTAACCCGGTGTACAAAGACAACTTTTTACACCGAGTGAGTCCACCCAATGTAAAAACTTAGAACTTTTTACACCCGGTGGACTCACCCGGCGTAAAAAGTCTTTTTTTTTACACTGGGTGGCCATACACCTTATGTAAAAAGTTGTCTTTTTACACCGGGTGACCCTTTACCCAGTGTAGAAAATTTTTTTAAATTACCCTC